TCCAAAGCTGCTATGTCTACGCGCTGTTCGACTTGAAGGGCGTCATCTAGAACTTGACCGAGGGAAGCGAAGTAGGTTCCCGTTCCGTAACCTTTACGGAAGGCATGTTGTCGGCAATCCAACAGATTGTTGTCTTGAAGGTAGTCAGTAAGTCTGCGGTTGACCATACGTTCCAGAACTTTACAAGTGCAGTTTGTCAATGAGATAGGCCGGTATTCCTTTGGATCAGTCGAGGATGATCCATTCTTTGGTATGGAAACTACCAAACTGTGTCTCCATTGCTTTGGGAAAACATCCTGGGTCCAGTTCTGGTTCAGAAGTGAAAGAAGGATCTGCTTGCCCCTGTGCGGTAGGTGTTTCAGCAATGGGTAACTAATTTCATCAGGGCCAGCAGATTTACCATTACTGTTTGCAAGGGCAAAGCTAAACTCCAACATGGAGAAAGGTTGGTTGATCGGTAGAGAGGAGACGTCTTGTGGGATGGGAACTCTATCTAACGACGTTAAGGAGGCAGCATTGCTTCTGATGAAAAGTTGACTATAGCCACTTATGGCAGAAAGACTGGCAAAATATTCTGCAAGTTTATCGGTTACAACCGAAGGGTCTCTCCATAACCCGTTCTCATGTCTGATGGCTATACCTTTTGTTCTCCTCTTTCCGCTTAGAGAGTTTACCCTATCCCACAGTTCGGTAGTAGACTGGTTACTATTGATCCCGTCGATGAAATCTTCCCAATTCCTGCGTTTGGCATCTCTGATGATTTGTCTGCATTTATTTTTCTTTGATCGATATTCTGCTATCATTCTTCGGATGTCTCTTCACTGCTCTCATTGCCTTGGGCTTTACGGCCGGGGGTGACACTAGTCCTAGGTATGGAACCTTTAGCAGCATCGAAGATAGTGGTGGTGAGTTGATTGATACTAGACGGCTTATTGACACCTAGACTTTTCTCTATGGCCGTTTCAAATGCGGCCCAATCCGCCTGATCGTAACGCCAGCGAGGGCGTCGAGATGTCTCGGGGGGTTTACTGTTGATACCGATTAAAATGGGGCGGTGGTCACTACCCAGAGGGTTCTCAAAACAGGACCATATTAGGCGCTTCGTTATATCTCTACTGGCCAATGATTCATCGATTGCAGTGTCCGTGCCCCCGCATAAAAGTGGGAGTTCCATCGTTTAGAACAACTAGAAATTAAGCTGGTGGTTTAAGACTGCATCTCAGGGTCATCATTCGACGGGTCATGTAGGATGTCCGGCGGAAGGTGACGGTTGTCACTGACGTTTGCAGATCTTATTTTGAGGGGTTGGTTAACTTTGGGATCGATCGGTGAACGCAAGCGTTTAGACGATCTGCTTCTCGGTTTCTCGTTTCTCTTGTGGCCACGGCTGCGACTCTTACGGGGCTTGTTTTGTTTCTGTTGTTGCTATTGTTGGAAGTCTTTGTTGTTGGCCTTGCTGGAGTGACTGGACTCTACTGCAGCCTGAGGGGCTGGAAGTCCGACGGATTTAGCATCCCTTCCGGTTCCCTTGAGCAAGGCTAGGTATTGCTGAGATATTTCGTTACTTCGTCGTTCTGTACAGATTTTTGTACATGTTCAGGTCATGCTGAAGTCGGTCCGTGATAACTTGCTGGTCTTAAGCTTTTTTATTCCATTCGTCTTTTTGTTCCTCCATTTCCTTATCCTTCTTGTTTAAACGCTCTTCCATTTCCGCCAACCTCTTCAGGATTTACTGATTTTCGTTGCTATTGCTGATGTTACCTGCTTGTCCGGATTGTGAAGAATTGTGCCTTTGCTGGTAGATCTTCTTCGCCGCGTCATATGCCAATCCCAGATCAATTCGTATTTTGGTGATTTCATTTTCGGCCACGTAAACTGGACACTTCTTACTCGATACAGGGTGTTCAGAAGACTTGCATTTGGGGCAATGTGGTGCAAAACGGCAGGTGACTCCTCGAACCACCTCGTGATCACCAGCACACATGCCACAGATGGCTTTTTTCGCACAGCACAGTTTTGTATGTCTAAACTCCAAGCATTTGTAACACTGCATGGGAGCAGGATAATATGGCCTGGTTTGAATCGGTTAGAATCAACATCGGTGTATTGATCCTATCATCCCCGACGCCTTTCCGGGTGATTCTCCTAACAGAAGATATGCCTTGCCCTGCTAGGATGTCTTTTACTTCCTCCTCGTTGAGATTTACCACTTCGTAGTTGTGTATTACACACTTCACATAATTGTGAATCGGATGCTCTTCGATGCTGATCGGAGTGTGATCGTACAGTTCTTTCAAAGATTTCAATGTATCTACCTGCTCTGGTCTTCTGACTTTCAGGGCGTAGCAGGTTCCTCGATTTTCGGGAAATGCTCCGCAACATTGCGTTACGGATAGACTAACCACAGCCAGATTTTTTGGTAGCACAGTTGGTTCAAATGGTTATAGTCGTAGGATTGCCAGTGGGCCATGAACGTTTTGTGGTTTCATCCATTCGGGAACTGTACGACCCCTATATGATCCATCAATGGTATTACAACCCGTTGCTCCACCACCAGGATCCCCATCGAGGGGAAAGTCCCATCCACACTTCATAGTCGACATGGCATGGAACGGTTTTCAGCAAGCGAAGTCCAGAATAGCGTCGTATAACTTCCGTGGTGGAGATGCTCTCATGTACAGCAGTCACAGCACAGCAGCAGCACTCTCAGTGTGATGCACACGAACAGCAGTATGGGTTTTTTTTTGCACACAACTATACACGATTCGCGAGCGAATGAGGCTATACCAACGGAGGTAATTGTTTGCCTTTTGTTTATCACTACCGAATAGCGCGTGTAATGTATCAATTTCAGAACAGCGTCACTAGATTCTGAATCTAAATGCACTCCGCGCACTAAAACGAAACGCGTTGGAACTTCTCGGGATAATAACTGGCAAGTATCGAAGTGAAATAAACACTATTGTATACCGCATGAACTAGAAACCGACCAAATGCGACTGTACGTAGCAGAAGCTTTCGATTAACTGACTAAAAAAGTTGAAAATAGTGACTGATTACAAGAAAATATGACTTTAGAGACTTGGCCTTAAAAAGGAGAGTGACTGGCTTGAAAAAAGTGACTCGCTACCAGCCCTGCACCTGTCAAACTAAACAATATGTTACCTTAATAAAGACAACCAACTAACTAAACTGAAAAGCTAAATTCGATTGATTACCAACTCTAAACCGGATCACCGAAAAACAAACAACACTAAATATTTTTTCTCGAATAACAACAAACGTGACCAAAACAAAAGTCAAGCGAAGTTTTGATCAATGACAGATGACTTGTCTTCACAGGGATCTTTGTATATTCGAGTCTCTTTACCACTGTGGTCGGAATATCATTGTGCTTGCCAAACATGCTTTGGTTGGCATAGAAAGCTCTCACTTTATAACTGTGGAAATGCTTCAAAGAACACGTAGTCGAGCACAGTCAAAACGCTGGCATAGGAGACGCAAAAATCCAGGAAGATTAAAATATGTTCCAATATAATTTGCTAGCGATCAGCGTTTAGCGTCGCTAATACACCGGTTAGCAATGGCCTCAACTGAAAAATAAATAGTAAACAACTAATTATTTACCACATTGTTATGCCATGGAAAACGCTGATGCTGAAGCGCGGAGAACAGCACAACTTCACACAGCGTCCAGACTTTATCAGGTTCCATTTATTACGGTACTTGTTATCACATTTCTCGGAATTCAATTTCGCTGATTAACATATCAGGATAATGCCAATTCCGGATTGACATATTACGGGATACGTATTGGTTTGAATTGAATTCCCATCGTAATTTCATAGGAAATTTCAAAGAAATGCTCAGAACTGTAAATAATAATGTTACAAATAATTTATTTGCAAACAAATCAATTTATATAAGTTAAATAAATCAATGACCATCAGAATTTCCTTAGAGACCATAACAGAACTCTTTTGGAATTATGTTTAGGATTCGTCTAGAATCAGAAGGTTCTTAGAGCTTCCTAAGAATTCTAGCCAGAGATTTTTTTTAATTTTCCCCATAACTACACGACCAACCAGAACGACTCAGCCACTGAATAAAATTGACTCAGAGTATTTTCTTTCCATACGAAATTTACTCATATTTGGGAAAACCTGCAGTTTTTCATTAGCTATGTGTTCCTGCAGGTTTTCCCAAATATGAGTAAATTTCTTAATGACAGAAAATGCTCTGAGTCAATTGAATTCCGTCACAGAGTCGTTCCTGGTTGGCCGAGCACATCACACTTTAGAAAATCGAAAATAGCAATTAGGTACATAGAAATGATCACACTTATTTCCTACATTAACGAATGTCAATGTCGATCGTTATCTATCCGACAAATTGACATGCAAGAGCACATTCTCGCAACCGGTAACAGAGTACGTCTAATTCCGTTTACAAAGCAAATAAAACGAAACTGATGAGTTGGATACATTTGGAAATGTAATAAGCAAGCACGTAACGTAAATTATAGATTACCATTCTAGCTTTTAAGACAGGTCAAGCTAATTTTCCTAGAATGCTGTCTTGTAATCTTCACACCTTCCAGGAAGACTCTACTGAGATCTAATCAACTGATAAGACAAACGTAACAGGAGTAATCTTACGCGCACGTTGATAAGGTGTGTTCCATGCAAAGGTCACCTCCTCTACGACAGAGAAATGTGTACACACGCAAGCAACATCAATTATTGAATCATGTTATGTAAATTACTATCGTCCGAATTTCATCATTAAAAATTTGGTGCTCATATATGCGATAAAACATCAATAAATAGTTGCATTGAGGTTATGCATAGTAAATCACCACTTCCGCTAATTATGTTGTCAACAATCACAAGTAATTGCCTTCCCACTAGCAGACGAAACTTTCACCCCATGAAATCAAACCTTAATTTCAGAATCAATTTAGCATGAATGGAGAAAACCAACGTTGCAAAACTACTCACTGAAGAACATCCGATAGTCGGTGGAATTTGGTGCGCCCCGTTCCACGGTGTGGTACTTCTTGACTGTTCCAGTCATCTTGATGCAACTGCTTCCCGTGGCTTCTGATGTGAAACTGCGACTGCTGCTCCAATCACTTCTACCGCCGATTCTTGATCCTTCAGCTACGGAATGTAATCCGGCGATACAGGTTTCCGTGCGGATAAAACGTGCTGCTACTACTCCGAGTTGACACTGCAGTTGCTGCTGCTGTTGAAAACACCGCGTCAGAAGATGGACTGCCGTCCGGCGGCCAACCCATGATGGAAACATTTTTAGCACTGTGTTATTGTGGTCGTAAAGCAGACAGTTACGGTATCTAGCAAAATCCATAGGCACGAAAGGTTCAATATATTGGGCCTTACGAATGTGTGCGTAACTGATGACGTTGAGGGTAGGGTGGGAATCAGTAATAAAACAACATAAAAATGGTTTTTTTCTTATTCATTAATTTTGTTAACATTTATTTCTGTTGTTCTCAAATGGATTAAGATCAGTTAGTATACATATTTGGCAACCGAGTTAGATAATTATAAGCGATGCTTACCACTAGCAACGACCGCATAAGATAACCTTGAAATATGAAAACTTGCTTCTAAGTAACGATGATGGGTAAGTGGTAAGTGTGCATGCGATCGTGTGAGTGCCGCGTTTGACAGATTATGATGTAAATGTTTATCAAGAGGTATGTTCATTTTGGTGTTTAAACGGGTGTTCGATGTAGATGATTATTACCTTGAGAACAAAGCTTGTTTATGGGCATGTTAATTGTGGAAACAATGTTTGTTATTAGATTAGGATCTGTTCGGAAATAACGTAACGCAATGGGGTGAGTGAACAAAAGTGCGAGGGGAACGACTCTATCTATGATGCAGAAGAGATTGTGTTTAGCTGTGGCTAGATGCACGCACGCTGAGTAGATAGAAGGAAGTTTTATGTCGATTTTGAAGATTTCTTGCAAAAAGATGAAGCGCGATGCAAGTAGATGCGAGAAATGAAAGATGATTTTTTGAAGATTAATTCGCTAGTGTGAGATTTTTTGAGCATCTACAATTGAGATTTAGATGTGTCGCCCCCTCGCAAAAATGTTACTATTTGTTACACTTTGTTAAGGTAGCCTACGAAAACCAACACAATCATCGGGTTGGGGAACCCGCATAAACGCGAACCATAAATTGACCTTACCTAAAATGGTTAAAAAGTGTTTATAATCCCTGCTAAACTTTAACTGAAATGGTTACAGAACTTTACATGAACGTTTAATGATAAAGTTTCAACCTTATGTATTATGGTTTTTTGGAACTGGACCTTACAAATAATGGGTTGTTAAGAACCATTACTGTTCCAAATTCTTGTTTTCTCCATACATTTTCGGAAAGAGAACTATATTAGAACCTTTTAACTTATGGTTTGAGAACTTTAATGGTAATGGTTATGGTAGTCAGTAAGGTCCACGAATGGTTTTGTAACATCGATCAACTTTATGTGGAATATAAAGCGAATTGGTTGCCAGCAATTTACTGATTACCAATTCACGATATATTCCACGTAAAGTTGAGCGATAATACAAAACCATTAATGGACCTTACTGACTACCATAACCATAACCATTAATGTTCTCAAATCATAAGTAAAAATGTTCTTATATAGTTCTCTTTCTGAAAATGTATGGAGAAAACAAGAATTTGGAATGGTAATGGTTCTTAACAACCCATTATTTGTAAGGTCCAGTTCCAAAAAACCATAATACATAAGGTTGAAACTTTATCATTAAACGTTCATGTAAAGTTCCATAACCATTTCAGTTAAAGTTTAGCAGGGATTATAAACAATTTTTAAACATTTTAGGTAAGGTGAATTTATGGTTCGCGTTTATGCGGGAAGGTTTCCCCTACCGATGATGCTTTTAATTTGCGCTCGGTTGACTAGGGAAGAGCAATCAAAGTTTTGTTTTACCTTTTCAAATATTGTTCTAAAATATATTGTGTTAGAGTTCTTTTATTTGGGGACTTGTTTTTGTCCCTCTCCAGGCTTTATCCTGGGATTCAGGGTCGTTTAACCTGCTTCAGAGAGGAATTGGGCGGAAATACTTCCCAAAAACTAGGAAGGACTAGAGCGATAGAGGCAATAGGGAATGCGTGTTTTAAATAATGGACTAAAAACTGAGTAGGCTTAATTTAATTTAGTGTATTCATTGTGTTTTTTTTTAAGTTCATGTTTTTGGAATTTTAATTTGGAAAGAAAGGGATCTAGGGTTAGGGAGGAGTTTAATCGTCACCTGGCACCGTACCCATTCGTGGGTGATGTATTGGATGGTTGGCAGACATCGGTGGATTCGTCCCACGTGTAGTCCTTGGCTCGCTGGGTTTTCTAGAGGCACACCTCACTTCACCGATGGCATCGATCAGCCCGGATCAGCCTCTGGAGGGCTTCCGGGACAATGCGATACACCGGACACTTCACCGAAGGCGTTGGTCACAGTCTTCTCGGCACTTCACCGATGGCTGGATTCGCTTCTTCTAACGGCGCACCAGACTCAAAAACTGTCCGTTCACTGGCGGATAAAAACTATATTTTAGAAAACTTCAACTTATAGGGTTTTTGATCTAATTTCCGTCCTCCCGAATAGAAATTTACATTAGCCCAACGTTTGATTTTGATGTCTACATCAGCATCGAAATCAAATGTATGCCTGATGTCAAACATTAGGAAACATTATGATTTAGTTGTATTTAAGCAACGTAACATGGTGTATACATCAGAAATTTTGGAACAAAATTTTGCCATTCTAATGTCGGTCTGACGTCAAAAATTTCAATCTATTGACATTTGAACCAAACGTTTTAAGGATGTTTTCAGATGTACAAAACGTTAGAACTAAACGTTGTTCGGATGTTTTTAAATGTAAACGTTTTCTGATGTTTTCTAATGTAGATGTTTCCTGATGTTAGAAACAAACGTTTTTGGATGTTTTCAGATGTAAAAAACGTTAGAACTAAACGTTTTTCGGATGTTTTTATATGTAAACGTTTTCTGATGTTTTCTAATGTAGAGGTTTCCTGATGTTAGAATCAAACGTTTTTCGGTTGTTTTCGGATGTAAAAAACGTTAGAACTAAACGTTGTTCGGATGTTTTTATATGTAAATGTATTCTGATGTTTTCTAACGTAGATGCCTCCCGATGCTGGAACCAAACTTTTTTTGGATGTTTTCGGATGTACACAACGTTAGAACTAAACGTTGTTCGGATGTTTTCAATTGTACTTCGTGTTTGATGTTCTCTGATGTTTTCAGATGTACAAAACGTTTAAAGTAAACGTTGTTTGAATGTTTTCAAATGTAGATGTTTACTAATGTTTTTAGATATACAAAACACTAGAATCTTACTTTTCAAATGCTTTCAATTATATTTACAACACATTAGAACTAGAAACATGATCGTGTAAACACTACACACGATTGTTGTTAGATTACATCATAAAAATGCGTACATAACAGTCAATGCTGAAGCTCCCGTTTCCCACCAGTCAGTTAACTGACCTTAGCTAACCTAATATCATTGCGGCAACTCTCTATGCGGCAGGGGAACTATGCCATTAGCGCGCTAAGAGTTGTTAGACCACTGACATAGGCGCCAATTTGTAGGTGACGAGGCACTTGGTGACATTACAGCGAGCTTGACGATTTTTGCAGCATTTTTTTTAGCAAACTACCAGTTAAGGTGTGTAGTGTTTACAAGATCTTGTTTCTAGCTCTAATGCTTTGTACAATTGAAAGTATTGAAAAAGTTAATTCTCATGTTTTGCACAACCGAAACCATCAGAAAACATAAAATTGTACAAAAAAAAAGTCATCCATTCTGGTAGACTATCTCTTAAATGCATAAAGAATAGCCATTGCTTAAGCTCCCGTTTCCCACCAGTCAGTTAACTGACCTTAGCTAACCTAATATCATTGTGGCAACTCTCTATGCGGCAGGGGAACTATGCCATTAGCGCGCTAAGAGTTGTTAGACCACTGACATAGACGCCTATTCGTGGGTGACGAGGCACTTGGTGACATTACAGCGAGCTTGGCGATTGTTTTAGCATTTTTGAGTGAACTACCAGACAATCATGACAATGTGATCGCTGCGCCTCCAGATCTCCCTTTAAATCGACCCACTGTGCCAATTTGTCAATAATGCATGACACTTTGGACGGGGTTGCTGGCTTGTTTGGTCCACTGTTCGGATATACAAGTGGCAAGCCTTCCCCTTCACGGATCGCTCCAAAAATTGCTGCAAACGAACTGCAAATATATAATAAACAAAATTATTGTGCATGAAAAATATGACAATGGACAATGCTCGAGGAGCACTGGGAGTTTTCGAACGACGCGTGCTTAGGACCATCTTTGGCAGAGGGTATATGAAAATGGTGAATGGAGTAGAAGAATCTAGATAGAGCTGGAATTAGGGCGTAACAGCCTTTGTAAACAATGACTTCTCTTGTTGATTTCTCGGAATTCAAGACACGCCTACACAAACCAACATATCCATCGGGTAGTAGAAGTCTTTCTCTAATCGATGGTGATGTCGATTCGCCTTGGAGAGCCATGACTTCCGCGAAATCATCGAGAGAAGTCATTGATTACAAAAGCTGTTACGCCCTAGTTCCAGCTCTATTTAGGAATGAACCACGAACTGGCGTAACTTTATGGCGAACCCAATATCCAGAAAGTCGCTAAAAGTGGAAGATTGTACCCTTCCACGGGCGGGACACGTTGTAAGAATGCCGGACAACAATCCCGCAAAAATGGTGTTTTCCTCAAATCCGGCCGGTACAAGACGCAGAAAAGCACAGCGTGCTATGTGGTTAGACCAAGTGGAGTAAGATGTAGGAAGTGTGGGACGCTCGAGAAATTGGAGACAAGCAACCAGGGACCGAGTTAGTTGGCGCAACTTGTTATACAGGTTAGGTTCCGAGGGACGTCGGATCAGCAAAAGTAAAGTAAGTATACAGACAAACAGACATAAAACTCGCAAGATGTTCATCGAACAAGCATTTATCGGTCAATTTAAAAGTATCTTAGTTGGTAGTACCGCCACCTGTGGCGCGCATAGTCAATTCCCTTGCGTTTGACGTTTCCACACTACCGCCATCTGTTCAGCGTACTACCCACCACAGTGTACTCAACAGAGGGCGGTAATGTTTTAACGACGATGTTTTACAGTGAGAAATATTCAATGTGTTATGTCTATTTGTCTGTGGTAAGTATCTTATACGTTGGCTAAATTGTTATCCAAA